GTTTTACCTACAAGGGAGTACCCATACGACTGTCAGCTGATTTCTCAACAGAAACTTTGCAGGCCAGAAGGGAGTGGCAAGAAATATTCAAAGTGATGAATAGCAAGAACCTACAACCAAGATCTTTATCCAGCATGAAATGCTGAATGGTATCCTTTTAAGAAGAGGAATAAGAAAATGGTAAAGATACAAACTGTGAACAACAAATACACATCCATCAACAAGTAAATCTAAAAATGAAGTGAATAATCTGATGAACAGAATAAACTGGTGATTATAATAGAATCAGGGGCATAGAAAGGGAGTGGACTGACTATTCTTGTGGGGGAAGGGGGTGTGGGGGATGCAGGAAGAGACTGAACAAAAATTGTGCACATATGGATGAGGACAGTGGAGGGGGGGTGAGGGCGGAGCAGGGTGTGGGAAAAGGGTGGAGGGGAGCTATGGGGGGAAAAAGAGGCACAACTGTAATAATCTGAACAATAAAGATTTAATTTAAAAAAATTCCTCTAGCTAATCCCATCACCAAAAGCTGCTGAGTTTACATCAAATACCTAATTCAAGTAAACAAAAGGATTCCGTTCCTTCTGATAATAAAAGGCTATAATTTAATATTATTTCTTTGCAATGCAGTAGTTAAAATTAGCAAATTCCTACTCCTAATTTATTAAGGTCTATAAAATTAGAAGCTGCCATTCCATTTGTCAACACCTAGTTGGTAAACCAGATTAACGCTAAACTGCCGAGGGGCTCAACACAGAACCACACTGCTAGAAAGCACCCACGTTCTCTAATTTTATGGATGTGTCCAGTGAGCCATAGCTTAAAAGAAAAATTCCTAAACACATGCTGAATAAATGATCAGCAGTCATGCTGCTAATTCACCATTCACTGTGAAGGCGTAAAAGGGAAACCAATGACATGCGCCAGGCCTTATGACTCGAGCAGACTTTATTTTGCAGGTAAGAATGCAGCGGACAACATAAGGGTGATCATTAAACTGAGCTCTCAGTGGCGAGGTGACTCTCGGCCAGAAGAGGGCTGAGGCAACCTCCGGTTCGAGAGGTCCAGGTTCACGTCTAAGAAGGTGTACACGTTGTAGTCATGATGCTGGAGGTTCTTGTAGGTGGTGTTGTCGAACGGCTCGACAGGAGTGGCGGCCGGTGCAGCGGCTGGTGCGGCAGTTGGTGCAGGCTCTGTGGGGGAAACATGCAGTGAGCACATCGGACAAGGAAAGGAGCTTTGTTAGAACCCTAACTGCTATGAAGTGTCTAATTAAAGCCCATGAGAGAAACAGTACCTTCAAAACCAAAATGAAGAGATTAGCTGAAAATCTATTCTATAACATATAGCCTTAACAACGTGTGAAATGGAATAGTTATTATAATGTGTCTTAACATCTTAATTTTTGTACTTCTAGACCCTGAACTTGTCAGAACTTTGAAAATGCCTAGAACAATTCTGGAGACGGGACTTTCAGGTCACATAAAGATTCAGGGGGAAAAATGAGATCTACTAGAAATAAACAGAAACAAACATTTACAGAAGAAAATTTTCAAAAGCAGTGACTAAGTCTCTTCTAAGTCTCTGAATACAAGAAAATTAAACTCAAACTGTTTTAATAATGACACAGTTAAGGGGTACTAGAAATGGGATGTGTAGTGTTTTTTTAAAAAGTTGTTGATATATTTTAGATTCACAGACTAAAATTACTTAGTTTTGTTTCCTTAAGTGGAAAAAAGTTAAAACCCATACACTAGATATTTGGTAATCTTAAAACTAAGCGTGTGGTTGAAGCAAAAGAAGTATCGCTCGCCAGCAAGGTGGAATGCAAGACAGAATGACGGCAGGATCAAGCTTGCGTGGGATGTCGGCTAAGGTCAGGGTTAAGTTCTCACTGGAGCTCTCTGGACTGCCCAAAAAGCTGAAGTACATTTTCCCACTATTTGAATTCATAACATAAGCTTTGGTTTTCTTTTTTTAATTGTATTAAGTAAAAATGATGTCTTATTTAAAGAGCTGACACCTTTCCAATCTCCACGAGTCGAGTATCTTCGATGTGGTGTAGGGGCATCTTCAAAGTGAAGGTAAACAGGGATATAGAAAACTTATCAAAAACCGATCCCCTTGGAAGGCACGGAGCCGGGTGGACTTAGTGACATTCAGCCCACTGCACAGACACAACCTCTGTGCTTCTGGATGGCATCACTCAACTCCAAAGGGCAAAGAGAATATTGGAAAATTCACACATCCATGAAAAGTTAGGAGCAAAGTTTTTTCAAAAAGATGTGCAATCCGAAAACCCCAAATTCTGCTTTCTTCCTGAAGGTTTTGGTATTCCTCATAACAACACAATGGCTGAAACAGGAGCGTTAGGCAATGCAGTTCTTGAGGTCCTGAGCAGTCTGGTAAGCGCTGGCACTTTGCATATTAATGACAAAAGGAGAAAAAGGAGGGAAGGAAACACATAAATTCTGTCAACATAACGCAACCAATAACAATGACCAGGTAACATAAATCAGGAAGTGTATGCTCTTTAAAATTAAAAAGAACGGACAGGAAGGAGCTGGGTTAGTAATGCATTTTAAAGGTGTCTTGAAGAGCACAGACCCTAAAATTGGAGACCTCTTTTACTGTTTTGCCATGACCTACCTAATGCACACTATATTTTATGAAGTTCAATGTCCAAGTAAATGGTAACATAAGAATAAACAGTTTCCCTTTAAAAATCTGTGGTAGCAAAAAAGCCCTTCATAAAAATTCATTACAGAGAAGGAAAGCAGCCCACCGTTTTTTCAGTAAAGCAGAAAAGGAAAAGTCCAGTGAAGATTCATGCAGTCGATGGCAGCCTGTGAGTCACTTATTTCTGTGGGTTTCCCCTCAGGCATAAGGATGATAGAAGTTACTGCCTGTTAGCTCACATGAGGACCATCAGACCAAGTGTATCTATCGCCCTTCACATTAAACAGGACTCCCCTTTACACTCAGTGGGCTGCTCTGCAAGTTCATGCAGTCGAACTGGCACACCCTCCAAAGTTAAGGGTGATGAGTTACACTGCCAGTGTTCAAAATTATACTGGCTAAAGGACAGTCAAGAGTGTCAAGGGCCTACTCTTGCCTTGTAAAATGTTTTAGTGATTGTGTTTATAAGGTATTTTTCATAATTCATAGACTCCTCTGCTTATCTGAGAGTTATAGGCAATATTTCTCCTATAGAATCTGATTAATTACGGTTTGTCTTATCTCCTAGTTCCTCACTCTAACCACCCCCGAAGGACAAGGAGAGTTCTCAACAATCAAGGTGTACCCTGTGTGTCCTGCTGGTCTCCCACTTGGGTGGCTGAGTCCTCCATTTCACCCTTTGCCTCACGCTTTAGTACTGTTGTCTTTTCATGGAAAACGCCTTTATTAGGAACAGGAACTGGCTTCACATTTTTCACTGGTACCCGATCTTCCAAAATCTCTTTGTTAGCCTGTGAGAGTCCTTCTATCACCTGCTTCCCCAAATTTTCTTTTTTGAATGGGAACAAAGGCACCTCCCCATCAGGCTCTGGGACTTGTTTTTCTAAGTTTCTTCCTCTGGTCTCAGGAGGAGTTGCTTGCAGCCGTCTTCCTGCAGTGGTTTCTTCTGTCAATCGAGTGGGCACTGGGCCACCACTCGGTTGTGTAGATGACCCTGATTTTGTATGGTCAGATGAGATTTTTTTACCTTCAAATGGCTTTTGGCTTTCATCTATTTTATTCGAGCTAACTATTTTCTGCAGTTTTTTTTCCTCTACATTTTGCTTCATAACCTCTTCACCTACTTGTGACTTGGGCACTGTGGGTTTTGCTTCATCTTTCCTGTCCTTTAATGGCATAACGGAGGTCCCTTTCTTTGCCGGGTGGGGCTTTTCTGGCAAGGGGAGGTCCAGTTGCGGCTGTGGTGACCAGGTTTTCTCTTTTGCTGATGTTGAAATTTTGGAGGCTCTATTTTCAAAGGAAGGGGAGGCCTCTGATTTTGAAACCCTTCCTTTGCCTTTGCTCACCAGTTGAGAATCAATTTCTGAGCCATCTCTCTCCTCGTCAGACTCTGAATCAGAGGAGCTGGATGAAGATGACGATGACGATGAAGAGGAGCCGTCCGTCACTCTCTTGCTCTTCTGAAGAGCTTCTGCATCAGAGCCCTGTTTTCTGAATGAAGATGGAACTTTTTCAGGAAACTCTACTAAAGTCTTTCTTGACAAAACCTTTGTGACCCCGGCATCTGTGAATAGCATGTTGTCACCAGGGTGAGGGCTAGCTACTGTCCCACCTCGATTCACAACTGATGAGTAAGAACTGGGTGAAGTTAAGTTTTTAGACACTTCAGCTGCTGTTGGAGTGGTTAGTAGCTTGCCCCTCTCTTTTGGGTCCACTACATCTAGGAAATGGCATAAAGAGGATTATTTTTAATAATTAGTAAAACAATCTAAATTCATCAATGTCACAGACATTTCATCATATACCAACTTGTCATTTATAACATCTTCAACGTAATAATCCTAAGAAACGTTTCAGGGGAACCCATTCTTAAGTGAAAGCCAAACCACATCAGAGAATAGTAAGATGTAGGTGCTTTTTTCTTTGTAAATGGAAATTTTAAAAATGGGGATTTTTAAAAACAGAAATAAACGTTTTCATTTTTCACAAGAGAGTTTCTTTGGTAATTATTTTTAAACTATTTCATCCAAATTTAAGATGGTTAAGCTATAATATACCTCAGATACAGGCTCGATCTCCAGTTATGTGCGGGAGGCAACCAATCTAAGTGTCTCTCTCACATCGATGTTTCTCTCTCTATCTCTCCCCTTCCTTTCCACTCTCTCTGAAAATCAATAGAAAAATATCCTCTGGTGAGGGTTAACAAAACAAACAAGCAAACACAACACCACACACACACATACACACAAAAGAGTGGGGGGCTCAGAGGGAGGGTATAAAGTAGTTCAAATGAAATTGCCCTAAGAGGAAGAGAAGTCCTTCAAAATCATAAGCCACTTGGAGATTTCTTCAGCTAAGGAGAGCAAAAGTATTATAAGACCACAAAAGTCTAAAATAATTTAACATCATATACATCATTGGAAGCAACAGGTTTACTGCAAAAAATCTAGTAAGTGCTAACATAAAAGCCTTACATTTTGTCAGGGCAATTATGAAAAATAATGAAATTAAACAGTACATTGATTAGAGCTAATTTCAGTTTTCTCAGGGGGTAAATCTTCTGTAACTATACAGATTAAAAGAAAAATATAGGACGTTTTTATAAATTAACTTTTCAAATCTAAAGTAAAAACTTAAGAAATATTACAAATGAGCAAACTCTAAGTCCAAAATCTTTATTTTCAAGTCTAGAAGTCAATTTTATACTAAAAAGGTAT